TCATAGCTGAACAGTTAGATGAGAATCACATCTGTGAGACACACTCTTATCTTTTGAAAGGAAATACAAGTCGATTAAAAGCATTCAAGAGATGAACTCACTCATCAATAGCAATCTTAGAAGGAATTTCAGACCAAAGGCGAGCATATTTTACAGGTGTGACTGGCTCCTGGGGGTCACGGTCCACGTGCATGTGCAGCATCAGGCGGCAGAAAGATGCTCGCAGGTCATAGGGCAGGTCTTCATCAGACATACAGCGTAGAATCAAATCCACATCCAGCTGAACAGAGATTTTGTTGATGGCCAGGTACTGACGATCCAGACACATCCGGGCAAAAAGGTTCAGCTGGCATCTAGGAGGAAATATTATTTGAGCTTGGAATTATTAACACACAACATTTTTTAATCAGAACTGAGTTACTGTCAAATTCATTCTCCTTAAATATTACTTTGTGCCTGTGTGATGTTATTTGTTTGTAAAAAAGTATTTTTTGCAGTTAAATATCTCAAAATAAAAGCAGAATATTCAAGTTTGGTAAGCTATCGTGTCATATTTTTTATATGCAATATTTCAAAATTACACCTAAACTTAAATTAAATTTACTTAAACTTAAATTGAAAGGATTCAAGTTCACGACTGCCTATTTGAATCAGACATTGTTGTTCTGAATTTGACAGCATTGTATTACATTACTTTGACAAATGCTCCCTTCAGGTTGATTTTAAAGTCAGTCTAACATGAATTACAGTACAGAAGTCTACATGTCTTGATGTGTATATAATCAAAGACTTCTCACCTGTAGTAGCTGACCACCTCCTGGTCCTCTTTCTGGCCCTCTTTTGCATCCTGGGCCAACTCTCTGATGCTCTTACTTCGGACCTCCTTACAATTGTCTTTCCAGAACAGCCACACCTCCTCTTCGTCCTCTGCCTCCAGCGGATTCTCTCCGTTTGTTGTAGTCTCAATCTCAAACCTCGACAGGACCAATCTGGTGAACAGTATACACAACTCCAAATGTTCATTCAGTTTGGCAAAGGAATGTAATAAATTGTTAGAATTAAAACAAACGAGAAGCTAACTTAGTTTCAATGAGGATGTCAGCGTTGCTAGGGTCCAGCACTGCATTGCAGATGAGCTCCTGTGTCACAGGGATGGACTTGTTCATGGACACACAGAGATCTGAGAGGTAGTCTAGAAACCTGGATACGGATGACAATGCATGAAATATTTTTCACAGGCACCAGGCACTAAGACGCATACATAGCCAAGTTCAGAGTCTTTTATTAGGAACCAGAGAAAGCTGAAATAGTCATGTTGTGTTTTGTAAACGCCACCATTATTCAAACTTCTGGATCCACCTGATTCACATATCATCAAAAACATTTGACAGTATAACGCATTCATAAGAATGGGTCGGACATGAGACCACTGTGACCTTGACCTTTGACTACCAAAATCTAATCTGCTCATTCTTGAATCCAAGTAGGCATTGTTCAAGACGTTCCTGAGATATCATGTTCACAAAAATGGGCCAGATGTGCAGACAACCTGAAAACATAATGCCTCTGGCTATAGCTATTGGTGGCGTAGCAAACACACACTGTCAGCAAATTACCTGCAGTGCCAAGGTCAGAGACAAGCAGTTCCACTCATATGCACACAGTCAAATACATTTACATTCCTTAGGAGTTGCTATACACACAGTTCACAGCCCTTGCTTCTATTCCAGTTTATGACACTAGATAGAGGTTGTTTCTCAACCTAAGTCTCACCTTGGCTCTTGATTCTTCCTCACTAGACTGACAAATGTGTCTATCTCAGCAGCAGTGATGTGCTTCTCCAACAGCTTCCTGTTGTTGTGGAGCAAAGCTGTTATTGTGTCTTCTGCCAACACATCATATCCTATCTGCTTCTGCATGAAGCGGAATTGTTTGGCTATGTATTCCTGTAAACAGAAGAAAAGAGAGGATGATTACTGCAAAGTAAAGTATCAGGAGTCCAAGTGGAGAGATGGCATCCACCCACCTGGTTCTTCCTGTAATCCTGTTGGGAATGGCGGAGCACTCTGTAGCAAAGCCTGCAAATATGTCTAAAAGGAGCATGGCGCTGGTCACCGAGCTCCTCCAGTCGCAGCATGGGACCATCACCACTGTCTGTGAAAGGGGCTTGGAGAAGTTTGAAAATCTGCAATGGAAATGGAGAATTTCAAAAATCCAAAATGCAGCTGAACTTGCAGTGCAGCTATAGCCTGTGAGGTTTAAGACCAACCTGTTTAAGGATATTCTGCTCTCTCATGAGTTTTTGTCTTTCTCTGTTAGGTTTGTTGACCATGATCTCCAAAACATCCTGCCCACTGTTGGGGATATCCACCACAAAGAAAACTAGATCTTCAAGAAGCTTGGTAACAAACCTGGAAAGTGAATATATGTAAGTGTACAAGTCAAACATCTACAGTAAAATATTACAAACAGAATTTCTTTGAACAATTCAGCTGCTATTTCAGTGAGAGTGTACTGTGAAAAGCGTAAAAAAAGTGTACTGTAGTATGTAAAAGTCTGCCACTGATATTTTCTGCTACATACCTCCTTTCATTTTGTGTAATGGTACCCTTTTCCAGCTTGCCAGCGATGGATGCCAACACTTTACTCGCATCATTGGCAAAGTCTAAATCACGCACTTCTGCTGGTGGCACTGGCACAATGGCAAAAGCTTCTTTGTCTTCTTTTACTGCTGATGTTCCAATCTGGAAAAATCAACTGTCACTAACACAACTGTTCAGAAAACCTCAGGTGCACCACACAACTTGACCCAGTCATCAGCCACTCACCCGTAACATAACAGGCTTCTCCTCCTCTTTGTCAATGGGGTTGTTGGTGCTGTGAACCCACGTGTTGGTGCACAAGTGTCTTAGCCTCACATAGGAGCTCCTAGAAGGAAGAGTCAAAATTACTGCAACAATGAAAACATTTATTTTGTTTCAGGGCACAGGACAAGGTGTGTGTAGTGTAGGATGTAATGTTTTGAAAATGTAGCCAGCTATGGAACAGTTACACATTTGATCTTTGCAAAAACCTGAATGGCCTCTAACAGATAGTAGTCCTATCAAAGTGTCCCTTTAGAAATGAAACCGCTTTGGACTTTACCCTACTGAACATGTCTTGACCATGATGGCCCACAATCTGCATTGTTCTTTAGAGAGACTTTTTGTTTTTAAATAACTTTCCATGTGCTGTTATTATTGCACTGTTTTGGCACGATTTACTGTACTAAGTGTTTGTTGGGCACAAACTATTTCATTGAGAAGGCTAGCTCAATTAAACCCACAGCTGGTCTCCACAGTAATACTAACATTACAGGTATCTGTGTAACTGTGCTCACCTCTACGTGTGAGTCTCAGTGGACTGTAGCTACAAGCCATAACAGGAATGACTATATTTATAGTGTACCGAAATGACATACAGTAATAGTTGTCAGAAACATAATCTGTTTTTTGCAGATTTGTCACCACCTAGTGATTTAATCATATTTACTAGTGACCAGTTCCCTAACCTTTAACTGAGTTGCTGTTTATATACATGAGGTGGGGGTATTATAACACAGTACAACACTCCATCACCATTTTAAGGCCCTCTAAATAATGACAAAAGCTTATATTCTTGCTACTTAGAAGTAACAGACTGCTTACAGTTACTTTCCTGTGTGGTATGATTACAGATTAGCCAGTCGTGACTTGTACAGCGTCTTCTCTTCACTAAACTTTCACACATAGTAAAGTCTGAGCCAACTACGTCCTTCATCCTCAGAGTACGCAGCCTGCCTGTGAGTAGGAGTGAGTGTGTAGCTTGTCAGGCCTTCAGCACAGACAGCAGACAGCAGCCAGGCATTAGTTAGTCCCCTGGCTAAAATTTGAGGGACAGGGTTATTTGAGGAAAGAATTGGAGGCGCTAATACTAGCAGCCCGCATCATTCAGGCATGCAAAAGAATGATGAGAAACAACAGGGACTTTGACACATGATGAAGATGCTCTGTTCTTATCTGATGTGTGGTGATAGCCACAAATACACCATTGTAATTTCATACATTCCCTCTCACAATATTTTGTCAACAAGAATAAAGGCTCACTACAGATGAACAGTCAACAAATCATGTAAAAGAGACTGCTTTTATCCAAAAGTATATGAAATATAATTAGCTATCAACTACAATTGTGAATTTATATTGTTGTAAAATGTTTTTGCTGCATTAAATTAGTATAATTCCAAATGACTCATTTTAAACTAAAGGACATATTTCATCATAAAACATTTACTGCATCTGTCAGATGATATGTTTGTGCGCGAAGATACAGTATCTTTATACAATATCTGGCTTGTGACTTTACCACAGACATACAGTATTACAAGGATCTTAGGTGGCATTTTGAAATGTAGATTTTCCCTCTTGTGCCCACTATCCATCAGTCTGATTACAGTGGTTTCCTGTTCCATGCCATGCAGCAACTCACCTTGCTAGTGATTGTACCATCTAAAGGTGGCCAATATGTTGAAATTCATACACACACACACACACGCACAATCAGGTGGCAATGATTATTTTACAAGGAAGTGGACATACTGGACAACTAAGCTTTTCAGCAACATTAGATTTTAGAGGCATGATCTCTACAGTAACTGTCCTTTCTCCTACTTGAGTATCTGTGATCCAACCAAACACAGAAGACTTAGACAACAATTTCTCATTTGAATATCCAGTCAATAAGTGTCCAGAACAAACAGATGGTAACCAAGACATAACAGATCATGCATAACACAAAGGGTTATTGCCCATAGCTGCAAAAACCAAACAAACTCTCATCACTTGAGAAAATCCTGACCTACTGATTTTCCAAATTCCCCTTCAGCTCTACACATGAGTCAGCTGTTTACTACTGTTACTGTTTGTTGCAGTCTTTGACATCACTGTGGTCTTTCTGATTAATCAATGTGGTGTAGAGATGGTTGTCATTCAGCATATTTCCCCTCATAGTTTCCAAAGTCCTGATGTTATTTTTTCCATTAAAGGGCAGAAATATGTTTCCGCCCTTAAGGGATCTCTGACACTCGCTTTGCATCTGATATTTTATTATCACCTCCTCACTGTCTTGGGCATGCCTGTACACTGCTGGTGCAGGTTTTTAACAGCCTTCAAAATTTTTAAATACACAAACCAAAATCCTTTTCACTCTGTAGTTGTAGGTTTGGGAATGAAGATTGTCATATGGAGTTCCATATGTGTGGTTGCGTTTGCACATATTATACCTGGGCACCATGGAGTCACCGCCTCTCAGAGTGGTGGGGTCCAGCTCAAAGATGGAGGAGATATCCATGCCATCAGGAACTGGCACCAGGGTGTACATGATTTTCTCTTGCGGAGCGCGCAGACGGCCTCGCAAAGCTTCATTATCTGCATCAAGCTAGAGTGCAAAAAATGAGCAGTGAGAGTGAGCAAAGCTCCACGCTGCACGATACACCGTTGATCCTCAACCATGATCTGGCCAAGTAATATGCAGGTTTTCACTTTAACCTACTAGCCACTACTGAAGCTGATCTCACTTATTAGATCTCACTCCTGACTGAAGAGATTATCTTTAGTAACATACAGATTGTTAGGCTGTCTGTATTGGTTTGTACAATAGTGCCACCTAATGGCGATTTACAATGAGACATGTACCAGGTGAGATGATGGCACAGTGACACCCTGCGGTAATCTAGTACATACAATATGAAGGTGCACACAGTCTAAATCAAAGTTTTTGAGTTACTGATGCTTAAGAGTGCTGAAAGAAAAACTGGGCCTCAAAGCAAAACAGACAGAGGGATCCATTTGCAGACATGATGATGACAGATTTTTATGCTGGGTTGCTGCAGCCAAGCCAAGATTAAAGGACAGTACCTGGAAATTAAAGGGTGCAAAGTCCACCACCTAGAGCAGAAAGCAAAGATCCAGCAAATAACTGAATAAAGTAGGTGAACAGCATTTGGAAAATTAGCGTGTATTTCCTAAGCATTCACACAGAAGGTGATCAAGCCGAATTACTGAGGACCGTCTCCACCTCAAAGTCTGGGTTCACCTGGGGAACACATCCGCATTAAATAGTCTCCTCAGACTCATTAACTTCATATTGTGGTCCCTACGCTCTGAACCAAGCATCCCTGTATGTCATTAGAGTATTTTTCTGATTAAATTAAAACTCACGCTGCCAAGTCAGATACACATAAAACCCTTGAACAGTACACATGGGTACAGGAATATAACAGCATGGCATAAAAAGGTAAAGAAGTTGACACATACCTCACCCATCTCGGCAGCCAAATAGCACCCTGTGGCCAAGTGTTTAAATCTGAACAGACTGTTCCAGTAGCCTGCACCTCCCCTACATGGGTCATGGTGAACCACCTGGTAATGGCAAAAGACACAGAAATAAAGGAGTGAAGAATTTGTATGACATATTGCCATATCATTTGTGTTTTCTTAGTATGAAACTTTCTATTGTACTAAATAAATGGGGCAGCATGGTGATGCAGTGGTTAGCACAGCAAGAAGGTTCTGGGTTTGAGCCCCAGCCAAAGTGTGCATGTTCTCCCTGTGACTGCGTGGGTTTTCTCCACATACGCTGGCTTTCTCCCACAGTCCAAAGACAAGCAGCTTAGGTTGACTGGTGACTCTAAATTACCCCTAGGAGTGTGGATGTGGGTTGTCTGTCTCAAAGTATGAGCCCTGTGATAGACTGGCGACCTGTCCGGGGTGTACAACGTCTCTCGCCCAGTGTCAGCTGGAATTGGCTCCAGCCCCCCGTGACTCTCGTCAGGATAAGTGGTATAGATAATGGAAGGATGGAAGGACAAAATAAACTAACACCAAAGAGTGAATTAGCTTTTAACTGGCAAACTTGTTGTGCTAACCTCAACTTCCCACAGTGCTTTGCTGCTGGTGGCAGAGGTGGCAGACTGCCGGCCGGTGGTTCTAAGGAAAACATACTGCTTCTTCTTGTAGTCATCACAAGTAAGGAATTTCTCCTGCTCAGCGTGGAACAACCGCACTACATCACCCTGCAATTAAATACACACACATACAGTATAAGGAAACATACATGTTAAGAGATGAAAAGTAATTTTTTTTCACTTCAGTATTTAATTATTTTTCTTTTGCCAGTTAAAAAAGTACATGTAATACACACATTCATGTTATACACATATGTGTGGGTACCTACCCCTTTGAGTATTGTTTCCTTGTTGTCACTCCATTTCATGAACAGAACTACTTTCCAACTTGTGTTGCAATTGACAGAATTAACCTGAGGCAAAGAAGTGTGGTGGAAAAAAAAAAAAAAACAAATATTAAGATGTGTAATATTTGTCCTGTCAATAAAGTTTCAGTTAATGAAACAAACCATATCTTATGGACAGTTGACTATATAGCCCTGTAAGGCCACAAGTGTTCCTGTACCTCATTGCATCCTGGGTTGTCAACTAGCTGGTGGCTGCTGGCATGTAGAGGCTGTCCTGCATTCACGGGGTTAAGGACCACTTTATCTCCAATCACCACCTGCAGGAGCAACATAAATGCATTCAAATGAGCATCTGGTTTAGAAATTAAATAAATGAAAGACAACCTGTTACAGTTACAAGAAATGATGCATTAGTGCAATACTGACTAGTAGTAGTAAGTGTCTTTTTTGCTTCATGTATCTCTTTTCATATAGATTCCTCCAGTAAAGGGCAACAGAAAAACTTGAAATAAGATGAAACAACTGCAGTTCTGAGACCACTGTGTAGGATTAAGCACTCAATTTAAATTCCAAACCACAAGTCTGTCACTATCATCTGTCATTCTTTAACACTGCTATTTGCTTGCCTCATAAGGTGAACAAAACGTGCGTATTGGAGATCTGGTTACACACCGACTAATATTAGCCTTCACACAAACACTAGGGGGAGTAGTGAACCATATGGTGTGTGACAGAAATGGATGAGAGAGCAATCAAGGTGTTGCCATGACCCTGAGCATCACTCACTAACCACAAGGAATTTCTGAAGGATTAATCAGTAGGAATCAATTAGATCTAATCAGTAATAACGTAACGTAAGAAAGCCACAGTATGCTTTCAAGAATCCCAAAAATATCACTTGCACAGCCGATGAGAATTTGGAGCTGAGTTTCACACTGGGAACCAGGACTCATCTTTTATCAGCTTCAAATCGATTTCAGTCAGTGCATTTCATTGATTTTTATACATGAAGTGATGAAAAGTTAATGCTATGATGTGCAATTATTCCAACTAAAAAACTGTGAATATTTGGAACTTGGAGGAAAATCTTTATTCTCATAGAATCATTACATAGCTTGTAATCTCTCCTGCCATTGGCCTTGACAAGATATTGGAGTCAGCTACAAGCTCTGCACTGAAGCTGTTCCCTGTTCCTATGGTTGCCTTTTGTTCCTAAAATAGCTAGAATGGGTCAAATACAAACGACAAATTTCCGTAGCGGAATATAAAGTTTAATACAATTACCCAATTAGTCAGGTTATGTTCATATGGTGTGTGCTATGTCTAGAGCACAATATCTTACTTACTGTAAAAAACGACTCCACCAATTTAATGTTGCTCTCCAACAACAATGTCAGACACACAATGGGCAGTTTTTTTTAAAGTGGTCAAATCAAGGCAGTGCAACCAGATATTGCCTATTTTATTCCATTTTGACTTCTTCCTTATCAAAGCCTGGCAACTACTGTACATTACTGACATTGCCAATTGACTGCCAACAGTTTGGTAAAAAATTCAGGTGTGTCATTATAGCATCACCTAATGTAGCCTCAAACTGTCAGCTTCCAGTAGAAATGAGGAGCAGGATTATTTTCATTTTCAAACTTGTAGTCTTTAAACTGATCTGATGCTGACTCAGCTGACATCACAGGAGGACGTTTAACAGAATCCACACAAGTCCCTCTAGAGCCACAGCAGTCTTTGTACAGGCTTTGGGACTTTCCATAACTAAATACAAGTAAAGTGTAGATAACGTCATGTTTGCAGTTGCTGTTTCAGTTTGCCTCTCTTATACAGGCAATACAGAATGCCAATCAAACTTAAACATCTGAAAACATACTTCTCTGTTCAATCCAAAGCAAACTGCTGAAGTCAGAAGTTTACATACACTTAGGCTGAAGTAATTTGAAACCGATTATTGAACTGATAGATTATTTCCCTTATAATTCACTATATTACAGTTCCAGTGGGTCAGAAGTTTACATGCACTCAGTTGACTAATTCCAGAAAATGATGTCATGGCTTTAGAAGCTTCTGATTGGCTAACTGACATCATCTGAGTCAACAGGAGGTGAACCTGTGGATGTATTTGTTGCCATCATACCAATCAGGAAGAACACGTGTTCTGTCTCCTAGTGAGTTTGGTCCAAACAGTACTAATCAATCCCAGAACAACAGCAAAGTGAAAACATGAGAGGAAACAGGTACCAAAGGATCTATATCCACAGTAAAACAAGTCCTATAGTGACATAACCTGAAAGGCTGCTCAGCCAGGAGCATGCCACTGCTCCAAGGCCACCACAAAAAAAGGCAGACTACTGTTTCCACATGGGGACAAAGATCTGACTTTTTGGGCAAATGTCCTCTGGTCTGACTGTTTGGTCATAATGACCACATCATTATGTCTGGAGGAAAAAGGGGGAGGCTCGCACACAGAACAACACCATCCCAACCATAAAGCATGGGGGTGGCAGCATCATGTTGTGGGGGCTTTGCTGCAGGAGGGACTGGGGCACTTCATCAAATAGATGGCATCATGAGGAAGGAAGTGGATATATTGATGATTGGATATATTGAAGCGACATCTCAAGACATCAGCCAAGAAGTTAAAATGTGGCCACCAATGTGTCTTCCAAATGGACAATGACCCCAAGCAGACTTCCAAAGTTGTGGCAAAATGGCTTCAGGACAACAAAGTCAAGGCATTGGAGCGGCCATCACAAAGGCCTGACCTCAATCCAATAGAACATTTGTGGGCAGAACTGAAAAAGCATGCGCGAGCATGGAGGCCTCCAAACCTGACTCAGTTCCACCAGTTCTGTCTGGAACAGGCTCAGATTCCAGCAACTTATTGTGAGAAGCCTGTGGAAGGGATCCTGAAACGTTTGACCCAAGTTCAACAGTTTAATACTGACTGAGTGTATGTAAACTTCTGACCCACTGGGAATGTGGTGAGAGAAATAAAAGCTGAAATAAATCTTCTCTACTATTATTCTGGCATTTCACGTTCTTAAAATAAAGTAATGATCCTAACTGACCTAAGACAGAGAGTGTTCATAGGATTAAATGTTGGAGTTGTGAAAAATTGAGTTTAAATGTATTTGGCTAAGGTGTATGTAAACGTCAGACTTCAACTGTATGTACCACAAACACATCACAAAAATGCAGCCGGAACTGGTGTTGAAATTGGGCTATTTGTATCCATCTATCAATCTATTATCTATATCTTTTATTCTACAGAGGATCACAGGGTCAGGTGACATTGGGCGAGAGGCGTGGTACGCCAGTCTGTCACAGGGCTGGCATATTGAGATGGACAACCACTCACACTTACAGGCAAACTGACAGTTGCCAGTCAACCTAACCTGCATGTCTTTGTACTGTGGGAGGAAGCCAGGGTACCCGGAGAAAACCCACGCAGGCATTGGGAGAATACGCAAACTCCACACAGAAAGACCTTAGTTGGCGGACTATTTCTATTTTATCTGTAATTCATTCTGTCATATAAAAACAACCTATATGCCAACCCATGTGACTTCTGTGTTCAAACCCTGTGAAAAGTCTAAAAATACATCCTTAATTTCTCCTGTTGAGCACAATCAACTTCAATCCCACACCCTACTCTACCCACACTGTCTCCAAGGGATCGCAGCTTGTAAAAAGGCTGGATGTAGAACCAGGATCCCTCATTTCCCGCTGAGTCCAGAGTGACTCTCATGGCATTCTTCTCCAACAGTGCAGGTAGGCGCTTGTTCACTGTCAGGTATTTATTGCTTTTCAAGTGTAACAACTGTTGGCAAAACAAGAAACATAGTTACGAGCCAAATAGTTACTATGCAATGACATAATGCAAACAAAACAAAAGGAGAACACTCAGAACAAAAGGAACACTGTACTGAAAATTCACATCTCCTCAGTGTTTGGTGTCTTCATGTCTAAATGACTGAAGTTAAAACTCTTATTCTCATAATGACCTCTGTTAGGGTTTTCATTCAGTCAACAGTCCCTCAGCTGACTTAACTAAACAGCCATCTTAACCCTACAACATAACATTTATTTGCTATGGTAAATCAGGAACTATTTAGTGTCCACTTTTTTTTATTTTTTTTAACTCAATTGAGAATTCCCTGTAACTGCAGCAGGCCACCCTACCCTGTATGCACTGCCTCCCTTGTACTGCACATGTCATACAGCAGGAGTGCATGAACATTCTTAATTGCAGGTGCTCCCATACATGTGTGCAAACCATTCCAGTGCAATGAGCAGAACAAGATAAAATGGTATAGCACACCTTTGTGATGTAGCAATTATTTAAAACGCCTCTCTGATTAAAATGGAATTACAGTACAGTCAGTGTTATCAAGGACACAGTGTCATATATGGTGCTAAACATTGCTAACAGTTCTGTTAGCCAAAGCACCTTATCACATGGGTTTCTGAACACACCTGGATGACATTTCCATACTGGATGACTGTGCCAAGCAGCTTGCGGTTCTCAGACTCATTCTGCTTCTTCTCCAGGTCAGCAGCATGCTAACACAGAGCAGGGGAGAGAGATGCTCATGAAATGCTCACAGTAGTCTTCCCCAGTATAATCTTTGCAAACATTTTCTACAGTATCCATTACGTATATTTCTAGCTAGAACAATGTCAGTGTTACATGGAGTTTGTTGAGGAGGACTGTGTCAGTTGTGCTGTTGCCTCCAGGTTTTGCCGCCTTCCAGAACTGTTTCTGTGCTGAGTATCTGTTCATAGGACACAGTTTGAAAAGGCAGTCTGGGACGAGAAAAGCAGAAAAAAAGAAAGGTCAAGACCCCAAATCCTTCATTTAGTAATAGTGTTAGTTTCAACAAATACCTGCTGCTGGGCCTCAAAATATACAGAGGAGCAGTTAAGTTTTAGGACGATTTTGGTTAGTTTTGGGTGAGAGGTACTGAACTGAAAATGGTACACTCCACATTAACACGCTGGCATACACTATGTTATCAGCACAAGCACCATCTCACCTGTGTACCCATAAGGCCAAATGTAGGCATATGTGATTTAGTTTTGTGGTTTGTGATTAAAAAATAATTCAATTCAATTTGTACAGCACCAAATCACAACAAAAGTCATCTCAGGACACTTTATGAAGTAAGGCCTAGACCTTACTGTAACATCTACTATAGTAAGATTAAATAAGACTACATGGGTAAGCCTGTGGGAAATATTGGACTCTAACTGCATAAATGATACCGGATTGTCCTCTCCTGGGGTCCCACAATCTTCACATCATACAATATCATAATAATGTCTGACGCAGGAAAAGCAGCAGTTTGCCCCCCTGGCAGTGTGCCTTAATGATGATAGTGTTGATCAGTTGGACAGTCTTGGACAGCTACCCTCCAAGGAGCCACAAAATCTGTTGCGGATAGTCATGTTTTTCTAATGTTTATTTTATCCTGTTCTTCTATAGCATTGCCATTGGGTAATAATGTCTGCATTTACATAAGCAGCATAAAAATCTAACAGAAATAATTTACTGGACACATTCATGACCCCCACATGATAAATTCATTAAATGGTACAGTACAGAGCTGGTGGTAGCACCATTAGAGGGCAAACCAAGCTAGCAGAGCAGATGACTGACCACCAGGGACCTCAGAGGCTCCTTGGGGACAAGTAGATAGCTGATTTGTCCAAGAGCAGATCTTTTTGGCTCAGGGCCACCTTGCATGTTAATCTGACCTCTGGAAGCAGTGAGGAGCATTTCCTACTGAAACAAATGTCTGTTCTACTGACTTGTCAGTTTGCACATTTTGCATTTATAAATATATGAATATAATTTCCTAATCAGTGATTTGATGCATTTTTGTTTTATAAATTATCCTAAATATTAACCACAGTCGTACTGTAATTGCTAAGGTAACAAAAAAGTTAATCATGGCAACATCTTTGATGAAGCTCGGCATCTCAACAGCACCAACAGCATGCACATTTTAATGACAGAGCCAGTCAGTCAATAAAATATATAACAAACCTCCCTGGTTTACTGCAATAATATATGCTCTTAAATAAACCATGTATGCCAGAATGACTGAAATAGGCACATTTGTCATTTTTGTGTAGCTCTACATTCCCTGTTTAAACAGGAAGAGAATGCTGTTAGCAAAGGGAAACGGTGCTAACAAAAATCATCACATAGGATATTAATATGTTCAAAATTCATTCAGTGGCTTCATACACATACTGTACAGTACAGTGTGTTAACAGATATATATGATGAAATACAGCCAGGATAAAAATAGCCACTCTGGCATCCTCTGTCAGAAATGTGGCAAATGTTAAGGGATTAGACATCATGGGACATGGTGTGGAAGAAGGAGGATGAGAGGAGGGGAGGCCAAAGACCAGAGAAGAAAATGGGGCACTGGAAGAACATCTGTCTTACATGAATGAGCAAATGAGGTCAGAGAGAAAAGAAGAATGGGCAGGTGTGTTGTTGTTTTTTACATGCTAGGACACCCACTCACTGCTCTTCCATTGGTCACAAAGACTCTAGACAGAGACTGTATCCTGCATCAGTGGCTACAGTTGCTGTTGTTGTTTACCAACTTGTAGTTAACTGTAACCCTTTACTGTACTTCCCCTGTGAAAAAACACCAGCTTAATTGTAAACTTCCTGCTAGATTTACATTTCATTTACTTCTCCTTTCTTCACTAATGTTGTGGTGATAAAGTTCTACTTATTTAATTTATGATACATTTATGTAAATATAATATGATTCAAACATGAGTCACTTCACAAAAACATTTTATTATTTGCCTCTAGTATTACTGAACCATGATGATGGTGTCAGCTTTTGTCCAGATTTTGAAATGTCTGTCTCTGGGCTTTGTGCTACAACCCCACTACAGTACACAACACTGTTTTACTAGAACCCGGGGAATCCATAAAACATGTAGTCAGCAGTTTTCACAAGAAATACATTATATCACAGATTATTTGAAAACTGCTGAAGTTAAACACTTAGAGTAGACACTCACAGTCAACAACCTTCAGTTATCACAAAGCAGTGTACATACAAAGGCTCATGCACAAACACATAACAGCCCAATGAAAAATCTGTAATCTCTTTCATTTATAACATTTACCCATTTCTGGATATAATGTTTGCAGCAACATGAAGCCAGGATTACAGCCAAAGCCAACTTTCTCAAAACTTTGTTTGCTTAGATAAAGGAGGGAAACAAGTCTCTAATGACGCAGTTAGCATGCAACCTGTATTTGAGTATATACACACACACACATATTTCATGTCATTTATCAGCGAAATAAGATGACAGAAAGAAGTAAGATGCAACAGGCTGTGCTATCCTCTAAACATAAGGGGCCCTATTTTGAGAATCCACAGCATCTGATCAAGATGTATTGGCGCAAGTGCTGTTTGGCTGTTCATTCTAGTAATTTGACAAGGAGGACAAACAGTTCAAGTGCCCCTGCAAGTAGCCAAAGGGCTGTACTTGATCTCCTCATTAAAGCAGTGGTGTGTTTTGGGTGTAACATGCAATTATTCAACCAGTGTGTAACCTCACAACCCCTTTGAGAGATGTGCGAGTTTGAATGTTTGGTGGATTGCTAACATACTGGCAGACTTGCCAGGCAGGACATCAGTACGTTTTTCCACTGAGGAAATGCAGTCTGACATGTTTGTATATAATACTGTAGTGTGTAAGAGCACCACAGGTCAACTAATTAGCCAATTTAATTTCATATATGGTCATAAGCCAATTCTCTAAATATGAGAATCATACCAATCAAAATGGTATTTGTGCACAACACCCAGTGAACACTGGTCAGTGGCGCATTTTGTGCACCCTCATATTACCAACGTGCCCCAGTAATGGGAACTGCAACATTACACTTAGTTCATTTACTGAAGACCTCCCTTGAAAATCTGCCAGGAAGCGGCGATTTGAGAATACACTTATTGTCACCTGGTCATATGATTGATCCATTTCACTAGTGACATATTGACAAGCTCAGAATTTGCTATAAACAGCACAAATTCATGAATGCATAAACAAATAGCTGTTGGTAATAGTGTGCCAAGTGTTTTCTTATAGGCATTTTTTGCCAAGTGAGCAAGGCACTGCAACAAAATGCCAATTTTTTGTTTGTTTTAATTTAACCTTTAATTTACCAGAAAGTTATTGTCTACAAACGGTCACTGATGTCCATCCCACCAACTCATAAAGAATGCAGTTGTGAGGAAGAGACTTTGCATTTGTAATGAAATGCAAGGATGCATGGTATGCTGAATCAAGGCTTCATAAAAAAAGAGGAGGCTGCATGCATAGAAAAGGTAGTTAAGTAGTTTCCACATGCAAGTAAAACAAGATTAATTTCTAAAATAAAATCCTAAAATAATCAATGCTAATAAAATAATACAATATGCTCAGCCAAACAAAAAAGTAAACAAAACTGCTTGTTGACAAGACCGGCACAAGCCAGTGCCTATCCTATCTACTCTTACAGCTTTGGTTGTGAGGATTTTATTAAATACCAGTGTACTACAGGCTTGTTATTAAGTTTCTATCCAAGAAAATAACATCACTGATCTGTATTCTCACTTGTATCTGGCTAGTATTTTCCTGCAGATGTTTTAATTGAACCTTTATTTAAGCAGAGAACACCACTGAAATTAAAAATATCTTTTTCAAAAGCATCTTGGCTGCAATAGGCAGCAACAGCCACATCTGATGGGGATTTCTATGGCAGACACCTGATGAAGATCTTTTGTACACACAACATGAAACTGTTAAATCACTATGTGGAAGCACTGTTAATATGAGCTTTCTTTTTTCTTAGTTTATGTCATTCCTTTTCATCATCCTTTTTTCACCTCATACAGTATGTAGGGGATAAAATGCTGCTATAATACACCTGACCCATCTGAGACAGCGTGAAAGACCACATCAGAAAATAAAAACTGCATTGTAACATTAATTTCTGATAAAGCAGCTATGCTGACTTATACCCTATGGCATTAAGATATCATTAAGTGACTCTGAGGCCTTACCTCTGAATTTCTTGGGTGGGTTGTTGAGGTCGCCTGTGTCAGGTTGAACCACACAGCGGTCATCCACAAGCCTGTGGACACAGCCATCATTATGATTGCTCAAGACACATGCAAACTTAAACCTCAATACACATGTACAAGCTTTCATTTTCCATAAATGCTAACTCACTGGGACAATTAAATGTAACAGAGTTACCATTAAGGCTACCATTAGTCTTATTAACAACTGATCTTTTTCTGCTATATCAAGCCAAAGTGTCTGGGAAGGCTGACTGGACATAAAAACTGTTTCAGCTCATTTGTAACACACTAAAAGCAGTATAGAAACACCTTTCATTGTGTTGACTACCAAAATTTGTCCAAACTCTTGATAGCACCATCATACACAAGAATTCTAAGGAAACCCCAGGGAATACTTCAGTAGGGTGCTCTGTTCGGTCCAGTACAGCAGTATACACTGCACCGCACAGCACTATCATAATGTAGGAAGAAAGCCAGATGTGAGCGTCTCCTCTATAGGAATGAAGAACCATAACGTTGATCACACTGATGGGCTAAGATCCAAAAGAAAGCAGGGTCATTGTTATCTAAAGTCAACTAGAAACTTACTCTAGTATTCTGGGACACAGCCTCACTGACACTGGGCACCATCCTTCAAGTCAGCAGTGGCCCATGTGGTTACAGCAGGGATTACATTCAGTATGCTGACATCAAATGCAACACCTGACCAATAATGCTATTTATAGTTACGTCCTCTCTTCTCTTTATCAAAGTGCTCACAGCAGCAATAAGGGGAATTGATTACTAGGCATAACAACATGAGATGCGCAATTTGACAAATGAGCTATGTCATGGTGTCAAGCTGTGCACACATTTCTTGCTATGGTTGGTGAAGCACAACACTAAACTGTGAAAGAGCATGGTTTCTGAGTCCTGGCAAGAAGGAGGGCTGGGCACAACCTTTGGTGAGTGGCAGATACAACTAGTGCTGCTGACGTTTCACATGATTCATTAATATTCATGACTAAATGTAACCACTGCATCCTGCACTATCTACACTGAGCACAACTGAGTGGGGCTAGTACTGTACAAAACAAAGGCACCCTACCACAAACTAAGACACACATGTACAGTGACATCACCGTTCAGCAGTCTGGCACAGGCTGTTCAGAAAGGCATGTGCAGCAGCTGACCAATTCACTTGAAAGAAGCAGTATAAGACAACAAAGTACAGACCTACCTACCCATCTAACCGAAAGTCCTTAACTTAGCTAATTTCTTTCTACTGCAAAGGCACAGGACCAGGCTGCAGGGAGACCAATGAGTTGCCTGTATGTGTCCAAGCATTAATCAGCAAGTGAATTTGTCTACAGAAGAGCCATGGATCTTTTCTTTCAAGAGCCTAGTAAGTTTAAAGCCTCCCATGCAGAAGCCCATACCACTGAGTGGATCTAGCTAATTTATATATATTTATATTCAGTAAAAAAATAGTCCAAGTAATTTTTTGTGTTGAGGAAATTCATTCTTCGACATTTATTTCTACAGCCATCTGGACCCTCAGAGCACTTCAACTGTCAAGAGCTGCTGATAAATTAACATATGACAAGGCCAACATAAATAACACCACCTATTAACAATTCTGAAGTTGTTTTAAGTTATTCCGCCACCAACACACATACAATAAATATGGGTCCAGCACTGTGCAACCACAAGTGCATCACTGCTGAAAAAAACCCTGTGGCTATCAACATGGTAAGAGGAGGAAAACCGCAGCACTTAAAAAGGGGATATGAAAGAGAGCAACACAAGATGCTGCCTTCATTTTCACCTCAGAACAACAAAAACAAATCCTCTGGGGCAGATAAGAGTCAGGAAGCAGAGGAGAGAGACTTATAAAGGAATGAAGTCTGGAGTACAGAAGCTTAGATGTCAGATATGATGGTGAATTGGGGAATTCGCATCAACGATCACCCTCTGTTCTTCTTCTGGCCTTCTATTATTTCTGTGATTTTCAATTGTATGTCAAAATTGACTCAATTTGCATATAATGAGATGTACTTTTAACTTGTTACCTACAATTAGGGAGGAGGGAAGTTGTCAAGTGCTTATATAAATGTGGTGCACAGCATGCTGCAGGAAGAGACGGGTTAATTAGAGGTCAGAGAACACAGTACAGAATATCAAGGGGGGAAAGAGAGCGAAGACAACTACAGGATCCACCATTTTTCAAATAAGACAATTTTAGTCTTTACATTTATAAGAAATGGTGGACACTGTTAGTTAAAGTGACTCACCATGCTGCTTGGCATTCAAAAGACAAAACCAACAGACTGGGGGAAAATGTGGGAAAACTGGACTAAAATCAATCTTCCCACTAATTAGCTGACCTTAAGTGCAAGAGTAAATAACCTTGCTGAGTGCTGATCACCTGAATATCTGAAAAGTGATTTTTTTTGTAAATGACAATCAAGCTCCATCTGGTTGTTTCAAACGGTACAAGCTATTAAAGGAGCTTGTAAGGCAGTGGATACCACTCTATAAACAGTATGGTGCTGCAAACTGCATAAACTTTTCTTACAATAAAATACAAGAAAGTGCTAAGAAGTCAAGTCAGTTTTATTTATATAGCCTAAATTCACAAAGAAACACAAATCTGCATCACAGGATTTTATATGCTATACAACATAAAACACCCTCTATCCTTAGGAGGAAATGAGTCTTCAGTGTCAGTGTTTAATAAAAGCAAAAAAAATTGACAGTCTAATCTTCATTTCCTTCTCTAGTTCAACTTTTACTTCAGGTCCATCTCTGTCTCTGCATACTACAGCTCATTTCTCACAGGTTTTCCTGTATTGTTCAGCTAAAAATAAATGTTTTCTGAAACCTTGGTAATAGCTTGTGTTGACAGTTGAGTAACAGCCACAAAACAAACAGGGGCATTAAATATATCCATTAAATATATCCATTAAATGAATCCATCTATTATACTACCACATCTACACAACCATCTGTTTGGTTGAAAACAGCAACCATGTAAATCATTACATGAGTTACTCTGTTTATTTTGTGGCCTGTAGCTGTATTTGTAGCTGTGTATTCTGCACAGTGGGACACTATCATCTATCTGTCCCACAGTCTCACAGCCTCACCTTGAGTCCTGCAGCATGAGAGCTGGTAGGGAACATGGAAACCCTCATATAAACAAGCAGACTTACCCTAAAGTGCTGATAAAGCCACTGGTGGAGCCCTCTGCATACAGGGAACAAATGTCCCCGATATGGAGGAAACTGGACATCTTGTCCGACATGGTTCCTCAAGCTTTAGTGCACCTGAAAAATATTGGCATCATAGGCCTTAACAGCAGTCACCACAGTGGAGCTCAATCAAATTTAAAAATTATTAACCATTATGAATGATCTTACTCAACTTGACCTAAAATGACAAAAAAAAAACTTCATAGGCTGTCAATAGCTGGTTTTGTTGTGAATAAACTGTTAATAGCAGCGGTCCTGTTGGGGTTCATGAACATGACTATGTTACTGCTGGAGTCTATGATCAGCTGGGTCCAGATCATATGAATTTTAGTGCCCATCCTCAGAGCAGCACTTATTGTGAGTAACAACGGCAGACCAATAAACTAAACTCCTTTACTTTGACGCAAATAACTGAGATACCAAGTTCATCTTTGCCCTTCTACAAAAGTGGCCTGTCTATTTTTTAAAGTGGGTTTGCTCCTTTCCAGTTTAAAGTATACATTTAAAAAAAATACTGCATGATGAATGTGTTGACTGCTGAACTTTACAACTTATTCAAATTGCACACCACATGTAGGGTAGAGAATAATCAAATAGGAATCAATGAAAATACCTTGCAAAGAAACATTTAAAAAGTTTCTTTGTGCACTGCACTGCAGTCTATACTTAGATGTTTGAAACCAGTATTTAGGTCATCTGTTTCCAGGTTTAGAGATTATAAACCTGTGTAAATGAACGTTTATACTGGTCTACAGTATGTGGTCTGTCCTACCTCTGTTGACAGGATGCTGTTCTGGACAAAACCACCAAAATTTTGTTTGAGTTGATATCTGCGATAAATTCACAGTATGCAGCACTGTAGCATCACATACAAAAGGGGGGAAAGCACAAAATATTACATATTTTATGTTTATCATATTGACTGTGCGTATGCTGATGTACCGCATCACTCCATACAATTGAGATGTATAAAGTTTATATTTCCGTCTGTAAAGCCCAGTATCAAAGTACGTGGTTACATTTAATGCCGAGACACTATATTCTCATAATGCCAAATGGTACACAAATATCTCTGCTAGTTAAATCAAATGTCAATTCGCCTCATTTCTTAGCGCACGAGCTAAAAAAAACACACAACAAATGTGCGCGTGGGCTACTTCCTTGATAGGGATGCTACAGCTCAGTGCCCAAAATTAATAATGCCTAGATAGATAGGCACTTTACCTGGCAGAAACAGAAGAAGGCGTCCAAGATGGAGAGATAAAGAAACGTATGAAGAAGTGGGTCAGCACAGGGTAATTTCCACAGCGCTCTCCACGGTTAAGTCCATAGTAATGAAAGTCCAGGTAAGAGCAGGCTGAGCAGTGTTACCTCTAACAGCCGAATGCGTCCTCGGCAACAATCCGCTTCTTACCTCCTCCACATGTCACCAAGGGAACGCCCCTTTAGTTACTATTTATATGGCAGCAGAGCTTTCTGGGTAATGTAGTAATTACATTTAAACTACTATTACGTGCAGTTCACATAACAAGAGATAACTGAGACAAAGAAGCTATGACAAGAATAAGGATATTTTCCAAAATTATTATTATTATTACTACTATTAGTTGTGGTGGTGTTAGTCTTCCGCCTTTAAATTTATTTCAGCTTAACAGCCATTTATCTCCATTAACCTATTAGCAGAGCACACAATGTATATCTCCATTACACAAGAAGAACCTAGCTTTATAATAATAATAATAATAATAATAACAAAATATTATTGTGCACTATTTTTGAACCACCAGGAACCTTCACAATCTGTTTTATTACAATAAAAGAGGATCTCCTAACTTTGTTAGATAATGTAATGTACAGTATCACAAGTGATTCACATGTTGAGGACTATACTGAGCATGTCTCTGAATGACCAGACTCATGTGACTGGAGGTTTTTGTCAGTGTGTACATCATTTCATGTATATAATGTCAAAAACAGAAGCACGCATATTGCCTTTCAATGAGGGTGCCATGCTGTGTTTGTCAAAGTGTGAAAAGACATGAAATAAAGACATCAGTTGTGTGTGGAGTCTCCTGTCAGAAACACAGATTCAGCCACTGGCTGCCAGGTCTGTAATAAAGACCTCTGGAGTCTCTTCAGTTGTGTCCATGGATCTATCCACCATACTCATACAGGTAGATAGTTCCTCATGGTTTTGGCCCATGGATTATTACGTTTGTAATGTAAACTTTGGAAACATCTCTTTCACAACTTTGAGTGATCTAGATTATTTGCAGCTGACCCATTTAAATCACACTGTGACATTGTCATGTAACTGGAACCTCCTCTGTGCAGTGAAATACCATGCATTGTACTCACAAATAACTAGGCATATGAATAAAATAAAGTGCAGGCAGACCATTAACACAGTGATCCTAATAATTCTTCCACAACAGTGAAGATGCACACTTCCAGTTTCTCTGAAAGCCTACACACAGCACATGATTACATTTGAAAATGTGTAACAGCTTGATTATTCTAAACTCAATATGAATGAGAGACAGAGAGGCACAGGAAGAGAGAGAATGTGCTTTCATCCTTGAAATGGGCCAGTGGCATTAACCAAACACACTGATTGGTAGTTAATTAGGTTTCTTAGCTACAGGCTTGAGAGGGATAATAAGAGTGGAATAAGCGAGGCTACACAAGTGTTAGGAGTGTCCATTACTATGAAAGCATGTCTTTCTACATTCCATGATTACTTTTTACTGGATGCTGTGAGGCCTTTAAGATGTTCAGTAGGTAGCTCCAGAAATTTGAGGCCACAATAAGAAAATGTCTCATTGTAATTCATGTTTTAATGCTCTGCAGTCCTGGTGTTGACATAAAATCCATTTGTGGTATGATGCAGTGAAAAAAACATTTATCATGCATGTGACAGTACTGCCAGACACTCTTCCCTCTTACTGGTTATGCAATCAATCATCATTATCAGATTATATTACAAATGTCAACAGTTCATTCAAGGCACTTACACTACTCCCTCTGTTGATTTATAATTAAAGTGAACAAAAGGATAAGAGCTAAGTTCTTTGTCTCAGAGCATCACTGTTGGGTAGAAGCATGCATTTCTAAATGCAATGTCAAAATCAAGACATCACAACATCTTAGAGACTGAGCATTTTTTCCATAAAAAGTGGTTCCAGATTTTGATCAATTTTGACTCGGTTATCATGGACACAGTGTATATACAGTGGTGTGAAAAAGTATTTGCCCCCTTACTGATTTCTTATCTTTTTGCATGTTTGTCACACTGTAATGTTTCAGATCATCAAACAAATTTAAATATTAGTCAACGATAACACAAGTAAACACATCATGCAGTTTTTAAATGAAGGTTTTTATTATTAAGGGAAAACAAAATCCAAAACTACAAAGCCCTGTGTGAATAAGTGTTTGCCCCCTAAACCGAATAACTGGTTGGGCCACCCTTAGCAGCAACAACTGCAATCAAGCGTTTTCGATAACTTGCCATGAGTCTGCCACAGCGCTGTGGAGGAATTTTGGCCCACTCATCTTGGCAGAATTGTTGTAAGTCAGCCACATTGGAAGGTTTTCGGGCATGAACTGCCTTTTTAAGGTCATGCCACAGCATCTCAATTGGATTCAGGTCAGGACTTTGACTAGGCCACTCAGGAAATGGTTTGCTTTGTAGTTCACTAAACGTATCACTTTCCTTATTCTATAAATATTTTGGTCAGCGCTTTATTATAATACCCTGCTTGAACTTGAAGAGCTGATCTGCTGCCAGAAGGTGTTTCCCCCACACAATGCATACACACCGCAGTATAGACAGATATGAGATGGGATGGGTGTGGAGATTTCCTTTCTAGTGCACTGTAATGGTCATGAACAAGAGCTCAAATTTTGCAGGAGGGAGAGGTGATTCATCCTGATTGGTAGTCTGATTTATAGAGTAGCTGACTTAGAGACATGAAGCCACCTTTTCAGAATAAACAACTGACTAACATATGAATGAATACAGCATCTGCATGCTCCAATCACAGAGGGATGACAAAGTTCAGCAACCATCTGTGTGGGTGCACAGATTGTGAGATTCATCATTGTGCCTGTGTTAGAGTGAGTATTCAGGCCTTCCCTTAGCAGCACTGTGTGGGCACAGTGGTTGGTAGTTTTCTTGTCTGAGGCTGCGACACTCCTCTGTGTAGGCCATGCCTGCAAACTAATCCCTGCATTCATCAGAAATGTCAGAATAGAACTAAATATATTAGGGACAAAGCATCTCTTGTGTTCCTCATTATTCTGCTTGGAAGGAATACGTGATCTCGAGTTCATATCAGAGATTAAATTCCAAAATACAGATTATGTTTAGTCTTGTTCAAAAGAGAGATGCAGGGCTGTGTAACTCTATAACTCTATAAACAATGTGGTGGCCTCTAACTGCTGTTCTGGATCTGGGACAGTGAACCACTGAAGACATGATGCCGCTGGGAGCAAGAACCATGGATAATGGCTTATTAGTGATTTCAAGCTAAATGTAGAATGCTTCAGCAATTTCCTATCCACAGTGTCATATTCTAAACATATAACCTCCATGACTGTAGTGTTGAGAACTGGATCTACAAGCTCAGATTTCCCCCAGTTCAGCATGCAACATACACAAATGGAGGACAGAGCTACAAGGTGTGAACAAAAATGGTATGAAAGCACACTGACATTATTAAGTGAGCACAGGACCTATCAGCATAGTGAGGAAGGGTCATACAAACAAACAACAGCCAATAATCCTCTCACTGTCTGCCAGTCTTTTTCAGTCTATGATGATGTGTGCAGACTGCGAATGACATCACATCCCTGTTGTGTCAAGTCAGTTGCATAGTCACAGCTTAAGGAATTTACTATTCTTCAATACTCAGATCACGCGCACACATACACACAGGACTCAAAGAGAAACAAATAGATTGTCACGTCTCCCCCTCCCAACAAATAAAATTCCTTGAAGTAATTCATGCTGATGCTGCCAGGGTCCCACCTACAACAGGTACTGTCATGGTACCCTAAATATAAGATAAAAGACAATTATATTAGTATATTGAAAATAGTCTGATTACATCAGCTGCAGATATAATCTAATTATGCCCTGTGATTTTGTGTCATAACTTGTTACCAATGGAGGAAAAATAACTCATATTCTGTGCTCCTTCCTTGATTCAGCTGGACCTAGTGTGCCACTAAGTGCATTGGTGTTGCTGTCAGTAATATTTTGGTGTATGTAGTGATGCTTTTCAGATATTGATTTTCTGTAAGGCTCTTGCAACAGGCATGTCCAGAAAACAGAGCTGATTAAATAAATCCAGCAATATTCAACTAGTCCCCTATCATAAATGCTGTGCATAGAGTGGAGGAGAACCTCAACACATCTCCTCGGTTACAGCATAATCAATAAGCCAGACCATACAGATTTGCCAATGAAAATTTTATGCCAGGTGTTTGCTTTGTAGAGACAGGTACACATAGAATATTGTACACTGTTGCTCTGCAAGAAAGAAAACAATACCCAAGGAGGTAGTAGTAGTTTGAAATCATCTAACCTGCAGAACATGTTCTGTAAGCAGCTTTAACTGCAGGTAATCCATTAGGATCAGTGTTATGGGAGGATGTTACAACCTGCCTGGTTACCTAAATCAACTTGTGTACTGTTGGTTTTACTCTTTATGCATTAAACTGTAACTTAGTATGCATCAGACTGAGTTGAACTTTGTCACACTAAATGTATGAACTTTCAGCTTTTCTGCACAGCAACAATATGTAGCGTAACCTGTCCTTGAAAGGTATCTGCTCCCTCCTCCTGAGTATCTCTCTGTATCAGGACGAGGACCTCTGTCTAATGAGAAGCACATGTGCATGAATGTTGTCAGTCCACATTCCTTTCCTCTGATGCTTCCAAACTGTGTATAAAGCTCATATACTGTATATGTAACTGAGTTGCCTCTGTTCTTCAAGCCTCTCTAACGGACCTCTCCGAGTGCTGTTATAGACCGCTCCTTTCTTGCAAGAAATAAAAATACAAAAGATACTGTATCTATCTCAATTCTTTTTATTTCACACTCACTGAAGGTTGTTCAATTTATCACAGGAAAAAAGGAATTTTTCCTTCACACTACATGTATTGAAGAATCCATAATATTTCAAATAGAAATCCATATATGCATAACAGATGTTCTGGCTTAGATGTCACCATTATATTACAGCCAGTTGACTTTTTCACATTTAATCATTAAACAGTACAATACAATATAATGAAATATAGCTGCTTTGATAACTTAATAATACATCGTATATTTTCAGAATACACAGTCTGTTGCAAAGGTAAGACAGGACTGGCAATGAGAGTGTCACAGCTTAGCT